CACTCAGAAAGAAAGTTGTTTGCTCATTTCTGACACACAAGTATGGGTGGAAGACAGTAAAGAAGCAGGAGGTGAAGAGGTATAAGAGGAGGAAGCCAAACAACACTGGAGGTTGTTGAGACAATGGCAGCTGAGATCAGGAAATTGTAATGGCTGCTAGAAAAAACTCAAGCCACTTAAGACTACACAGAAAGGAAATAGGGCTGCACGTCTGAGGAACAATCTGGGTAGAGACTTCCGGTGGGGGCAGGGGTGGGGGGGTGGAGCAGAACTACACAGGACTTTTATTATGCCAGGCTGAGGGGTGGGCAAGTAATGAGGTAGAGTGGGTTGGGGGCTAAAAGGAGACAGAGCCAGGTGGAAGAATGTAACCCCTATCAACAAGCAATAAGTTCCTTTTGTACACCTTTGTATAACAGCAGTACCTGCCATTCCTAGCTAACTTAACAATAAATAGTTACTGAATGACTAACTGGATGAATGAAGAGAATATTGATGGATGTGTCTTTACTTACTGCAGCAACAATGGAACCAAGCAGGGCCCTGTGGGGCTCCAAGGCAGAGAAGCCTTTCAAACAGTTGCCAGTCAGGAAAGAGGGGGGATGAGAAAACACAGAGGTGCACTCTGGAAACAACAGTGCAGCCTTGCACCAGGGTCCTGGTTCCACCACAGGGGATACACATAACAGAATCTTTGAGCTCATTACAAAACTATAACCTCCGACAAAAGGAAGTAGCTAGCATTCTTCACTCCAGAGAAGGCCACCTGAGATTAGATTAAAGGGATCAGAGAAGCTCATCAAGAGACTACCAGGTATAGGCTCTGCTTATAACCCTGATCCTTATCAGCATCCCTGCCCTTGAACCATTGCGATAAAACTCTGCACCGAATTCCCCCAAATTGGGGAAACACAGTTTTTGAAGGATAAGCCCAAACTCTGTGTCTGAGATTCGATCCAGCACTGGTGCAAAGAGGCTAAGCTTTTGGCTTTGGCAATTGTGAATTAGGCTGTATGTGCTCAATCCAGTCTGACTCTTTGCAAACACATGGAATGTACCCACCAAGCTCCTCTGTCCATGGAATTGTCCAGGCAAGAATACTGGAGTGGGTTGCCATTTCCTACTCCAGGGGATCTTCCCAGCCCAGGGATGGAATCCATGTCTCTGGGGTCTCCTGCATTGACAGTTGGATTCTTTACCACTGGTGCCATCTGGAAAGTCCTAGTATACTGTATACAACTGATGAAGAATTGTCTCAATCCATGAGTATGCCATTCATTCAGTCATCTATTCAACAAACATTAATTGAGCATTTGCTAGGTTCCTGGGGGAACAGGACACTAGACTCTGGGGGATAACAAATGACTACTGTTGCTGCTCTGAAAGATTTTAGCGGCTATGAGCATAAAAAAGAAATCTGTTAAAATTTTTAAGTTCAATAAAATATTTTAGATCCTATCAAAACTATTCCGATTTAAAAAAAAAGTATTCCAATTATCCTCACAACCCCACCATCTCAAAATCCAAGGGATGGGCCTGGTGGTCTCTGCCTAGCTTTCCCAACAAAGTAGGGAAATTGGACAAAAATAATGAACGTTTCATGAGACAGCGTCTAAAAGCAGGGAGTATTTTTGCTTAGGCTGGATAGTTGAAGCAAGGTATCTAAGGTGGTAATTATTTTAAATAGTGGCTTTCACATCACTTACAGTGTGCACTTTGTTCATTTTTCCTCCTTCCTCACCCAAATCCTTACTTTCACTTTAATGTCTGGACCAATTAACTGTGTGGACAACACAGGTAAAGACTGAACGAATTTAAGGTTGAACAAAATAAAAGCTCCAATAAAGGAGTTCACATGGTGGGACAGTTTAGTCAGGGATGATAATTCAAAATAACCACCAGCTCTGACGGCATCAATATATGCGCAGCCTGATCGCCGCTTCCCAATCACCAGGGCAGCCAAAAGAAGCAGGCTCGAGGTGGAGCCGATGGGCGGGCGCCAAGATGGAAGGCGGGGCTCGTTCTGGAGTCTCTGGAGGTAGCCAATGGCCACCTGGGAGACGGAGCTTTTGAAACCGACTGGCATGGAAACTAACCAATCAGAAGCCATTCTGGATAAACTGCCGAAGTCGTACCAGCAGAGTTTTGACGCAGTTTGATAGGAGGTGCGGGTTGAAGAGCGATAGCTCAGAGAAGCTGCCCTTTGCTAATCTGTAAGAAAAGGTTTCAGTTTTTAAATAACTGGTTCAGCCATATTACCACATATGCCTGATAGCAGCCCGGAAATAGTGGCCATATATATATATATATTTTTTTTTTTTGGGGGGGGGGTTGTCTGCCAAGAGCATCACTTCCTCCTGAGAAGTTTTTTGTGTTGTTTTTTCTTTTTTTCATTTTTGAAATTATGTAATTCATACAGGAGCTGCTGTTTACTTACAATGTTTGGGGGTTGATACGGGCCACAGGTTTCTGGGAATGTCATTTATTCATCTTCATTACCTAGCTCAGTGTCTGGCATACAATTAGGTACTCAGGAATTGTCTAAAACAAAATGGACACAAGACTTTAACTGTTGCTTTCTTTGATCTCACGTGTAAAGTCTCTAACCTTCTGACTCTGCCTTAATGGAAAGCCCCATTCTATTTTAGCAGCTTAATTTAGATAGGTGCTTTATTTGGTTTTTTCATAAGACGCGCTGTTAGTTCTGATATTCAAATTTCTGTTTACCTCCCCCCATCACCCAGTACAACCTTTACAAGTTCGAAGATTCTTGAATTTGACCCATTTCCTAGTGTTGTCGGACTTCCCACGTAGATCAGTCAGTAAAGAGTCTGACTGCAATACAGGAGACATGCGTTCCATCCCTGGGATGGGAAGATCCCCTAGAGAAGGAAATGGCAACCCACTCTGGTATTCTTGCCTGGAGAATCCCATCCTCAGAGGAGCCTGGCAGGCTACAGTCTATAGGGTCGCAAGAGTCAGACATGACTGAGTGACTAAGCACACGTGAATAGTGTTGTTAGGTTTCAAGCGTGGGGAGAGCCTAGATCCAGGAACTAGGAAGAGGCTGGAATTCTTGCTCCAAATTTGCTTCTCTATGCATTCTTCTCTCTTTGCTTCTCTCATCAACATAGCATTAGTTAGTTCAGTCGCTCAGTCGTGTCTGACTCTTTGCGACCCCATGAATCACAGCATAACGGGCCTCCCTGTCCATCACCAACTCCTGGAGTTTACTCAAACTCTTGTCCATCTAGTCAGTGATGCCATCCAGCCATCTCATCCTCTGTCCCCTTCTCCTCTTGCCCCCAATCCCTCCCAGCATCAGGGTCTTTTCCAGAGAGTCAACTCTTCGCATGAGGTGGCCAAAGTATTGGAGTTTCAGCTTCAGCATCAGTCCTTCCAGGGAACACCCAGGACTGATCTCCTTTAGGATGGACTGGTTGGATCTCCTTGCAGTCCAAGGGACTCTCAAGAGTCTTCTCCAACACCCCTGTTCAAAAGCATCAGTTTTTCAGTCGGCACTCAACATAGCATCACCCTTAATTAGAATACTGGTATCATTAATCTCCCATTACTGGGATTGTTCCAGCAGGGGCTGAATGGCAATGACCATTTGACACCATGGTAGAAGACACATCCTTGTCGGGTGGGAGGAAGGGAAGTTAGGTCAGGTTACATCTTTGAGCTATTTTAAATGTAAGATACTATGATTTTACCAACCTAGGCTCCCGTACACGCAAGGATTGCCTTCCATTTCACTTTCTCACTGTGGTAAATAGCACCATCAGTTTGTCTAGTCTATATGCCTGTCCATCTTTTGTGTGGAGTCAATCTTGTGTGGAGTCAATTTTGTGTGGGAGGTCTTCCTCCCAAAATCCTCTCAAGAAATAACAGTTTTCTCCTCGTAGCTGTAGAGTTGTAGAAAAGGTAACAAAACATGAGCTCCTTAACCTATGGCTAAATGTTAAGACGAATGGTATCAGGATTAGGAGGATAGGTTTTGGAGTTCAACAGGTCAAATCCTAGTCCCTACTAGCTGCGTCACTGTGGAAAAATTACTCTCTGAAGTTTTTTCTTTAACTACAAAGTGAGGACCTACATTTTCTCACTATATAATCACAAATATCCTGAGAGGCAGATAATATTCTCATGTTAGAGATGGGGGCACCAAAGAAAAAAGATACGGTAACATTTCTTCAGGCAGAGCTGTCTAGAGGTTTCTCCAGTAGGGATTGAATGCACAGTTACTGGAAGTTTTGCAAGACTGTCCTGCTACCTATAATTATATATCGCAGCTTTTGGCAGGATGACTGATCTAGGTAATTTCTGAGATCCTGTAATATGATCACTTACTCACATATGCAATTAATATTTTTTACCAGAATCTGTTTAAGAGCCTGGGGATACAGCATAAACAAGCAAAAAAAAAAAAAAAAAAAAAAAAAAACAATACACACACACACACACAAAGAACTCTGCCTAAAAATATAAAAATACAGAAAATAATTTGTACTGGATATACAATATATAAAAACAAAAAAATAAATATGAAAATATATCATCTGATTGTCAGTTTTTTCATATACCCTTCATCTAAGTACCCATTAACTCCTGCCCTCCTTCCCAGCCCTCTCCCCAGACTTAAAGTATCAAAAACTAGAAAATTCTATTTCAGTTTGTGTGCCACGCCCTCTCACGGGTCAAGGCTTATTCAAAGCTGGAAATCCAGAAAAGTGGCCGGGCCTTGGGAGTTTCTGAAGGTGTAAGGAGAGATCACGGAACTAGTGTTCCGGTAGTCGTGGTTCCCGATGGGAAGCCAATTCCGGGGACCGGTAGTGGAGAGCGCTGGAGCTTGTTTCCGGCCACCTCAGCGGGAAGCGGAGACGCAAGCAGCTAGGTCTTCGGAGACTGGGGTAGAGGTTTAACTGTTGTCCCGGCAGAGCAGTCAAAACACATCTACGGCCGACTGGGCCAGTGTTGGGTCTCCGTAGCCTGTAAAGATGGTGTTGCTCACGATGATCGCCCGAGTGGCGGACGGGCTCCCTTTGGCCGCCTCGATGCAGGAGGACGAACAGGTGAGCTGCTAGATCCTTAGGACCCCAAGTTCCTGCCAGAGCGCTATGCTGTCCGCCCCGGATTCCTTGTTAGGACGCGGGAGACCCCTGAATCTTCCCAGGCATTTCTGACTTCTCTGAAGTGCTTTTTCTTTTTTGACAGTGAAGAAGACTACCTGGAGAAAACTAACCTTTGCTGAAGGCGGGGGTAGATTTTTATGTTACCTATTTCTTATTAGAAAAACACTCCGGAGAAGGGATAGGTTTGGCTAATTGTCACCATCCAGTGTTCTGTAATTCTTTAGGGACTCTGCTAAAATTCAGGATTTCTAATTTTTTGCTGTTAATAAGGCTGACAGGTCCTGGGGAAAATCAGCTCCTAGTTCTTTAACTCCTTTCTGTAGCACCTGATCCTTGACCTAGCTTGCTGACATTTATTGAAAGCAGATGAGGTAGTATTGCCACATATATGCACCTGTTTGAAGTTCAGTACAGTACTTTCTTTCAGAGTTAGGTCCATTCCCACCTCCTTCAGTAAGCCTTACTAAATTCTTATTATTGGAATTATGACCCCTGTGTTATATTTCTATAATGCCTTGTACTTTTGCCTTTGTCTTTCAATAAATTAAATTTCCTAATAGGCAGATGACAAATCTTGGTCATTTTTGTATTTCCCATAGCTTTTACAAAAGCAGTTTTAGTATAATAGGTACTCAAAAATATGTTGCATTGATTAAAACAAACAAAAAAACTCCCAGAAAAAAAACCCCTAGATAGCTTCACAGAAAGAAGCCTTGTGCCTTAAAATCACAAGGCAAATTTCTGGTGTGAGACCAGTTCCTGGAATAGGGTTGGGGAATTCCGGAAGAAAGCAGGCTGAGAATGACATTTATATAATTTATTTAAATTTGTTTAAAGTGATCAACTTTATTTTACTTTCTTATACAAGTAATTTAAAAAAATTTTCAAGGCCTAAAAAAAAGTTGAGTTCTAGAAAAAAAATATTTTGCGCATTTTTTAACCTTTCATTCATATATTCATGAAAAAAACAACTCTCATTAAGCACATCAGGTGTGCCAAGCATGGTGTTCATTCAAGGACTTAGGGAACATAGGCCCTACTTTCATGGAGCTTACAGTTTAGTGGAGAAGCCAGATCACTAACAAATAACTATAATGTAGATAATTGCTGTAGAAGAGGAAGAAGTTTCTGTGATTGAACATGGAAAAGGTATCTAAATTGATTTTTGGACATCAGGAAAGTCTTCCCAGAAGGAATGACATCCAAGCCAATAGGAGTGTCTCCTAATTGAGAAAGCTTCTATTTGGTTATATGCCTTTTTAGGTTTGATTTGCAAATAAGTTTACTTTAACTTGTAGGAGAATAACAATACAGATTGGGAAGTTGTTATGTTGCTTAGTACGTTATGCTGAGTGAAATATTTTCTATTCACTACACAAAACAAAGTCTAAGTTGATATAAAATTTGAAAACTATAGCATGCCCTGAACTTTGAACTTGTGAATTTTTCTCTTCTCCTGCATTAAACATTTTCTTGGACTATGCAGAAGGAGTGAAATTATTAAAATGAATGCAGAACATGATTTGAAACAAAGGAGATGGTGTGAGGAAATTTTCCTTGAAGGATATGTAGTTTGACTAAGAAATAGTTTTTGCAAGGGAAGAGAAATCTGGTCAGTTTTCCAACTATTGCTTTGAATTGCAGTGTGGACAAAGAATATAAAGTAGATCTGAAAGTCTGAATATCAGTAGGCCCTTATTCTTTGCCTTGACACTTTATTGAAAAAATTAGTTGATTATACTGTGTGTTTCTTAATTCCAAATTAGGTATCAGTCTACCAAGATGGGTTGCTTTGTTTAATGAAAAGGAAAGATATTTTACACAAAAATATTTTCATGATTATAATTCTGTAATGATTTCCTTTAGCAGTTTTGACTTTGAATGATAACATCCTTTCTAAACTTTTAACATCTGCAAAAATATAAATCTTTGACTTATTTTTTACTATTAAAATAGAGCACCTTACATTTAGAGAGAGTGCCTATGCATGCGTGCTAAGTAGCTTCAGTCCTGTCCAACTCTTTGTGACCCTATGGACTGTAGCCCTCCACTCTCCTCTGTCCATGGTTTTCTAGGCAAGAATACTGGAGTGGATTGCTATGCCCTATTCCAGGGAAATCTTTCTGACCTAGGGATTGAACCTGTGTCTCTTATGTCTCCTGCATTGGTGGGTGGGTTCTTTACCACTAGCACCACCTGGGAATCCCATAGAGTGCCTGCTATATACCAACCATTCTGCTAAGTCTGCTAAATGCATGATTTCATCTAGTCTTCATACCAGCTATTGTTGTTGTTTAGTTGCTAAGTTGTGTCTGATTCTTTGTGACCTCATGGACTGTAGCCTGCCAGGCTCCTCTGTCCATGGGATTTCCCAAGCAAGAGTACTACAGTGGATTGCTATTTCCTCCTCCAGAGAGTCTTCCTAACCCAGGGATCGAATCCATGTCCCCTGTATTGGCAGGCGGATTCTTTATTGCTGAGCCACCAGGGGTGCCCTTATATCAACTATTAGGATGGGTTCTGTTATTATCTACATTTATAGATAAGGAAGCTCTGAGGCTAAGAGAAGAAAAGTCTCTTTCTTTAAGTCACACAGCCTAAGTAGTACAATGGAATTTTTCACCCAGATTCCTTCCTTACCCTTCCTCTCCCTTCTTCCCTCCCTCCTTTTTCCCCCTTCCTTTCTTCCTTATTAACCTACAACCACTGTGTTAGTCCCAGGTGCATAACATAGTGATTTGACACTTCTGTCATCAGGGTTTTTTAACTTTGGCACTTTTGACATTTTGGAATGGATAATTCTTTGTTGTGGGAAAACTGTCCTGTGCATTGTTGGATGTCTAGCAACATCCTTGGCCTCTGCACCTTATATACCAATAGCACTACCACTACCCTCCCTCCAGTTCGACAACCAAAAATATTTCCTGACATTGCTGCATGTCACCTTTGGGGAGGATAGGCAAAATCACCCTTGGTTGAGAGCCACTGTTTTGGTTTTTAAAAGAAAATTTTAATTGAGGTATGGTTGATTCACAGTGTATAAGTTTCAGGTGTAAAGCATAGTGACTGACAGTTTTTAAAGGTTAGACTCCATTAGTAGTTATTATAAAATATTGGCTATATTCTCTGAGCTGTACAGTATACCCTTGTAGCTTATTTACTTTATACATAAGTAGTTTGTACCTCTGTATCCTCTCCGCCACAGTGTGCCCTTCCTCACTTCCCTCTCCCCACTGGTAACCACTGGTTTATTCCTTTTAATCCATAATCTGTCTGATTCTACACTGGAGCCTTAGTACCTAACTGTTACACTTTACTGCTTTGTTCTAAGACATTTTAATAATGTATTTACTTCTTGGGAGTCTGGAAATTACTTTTTAAGAAATGGATATCTTGATCAAGTAATTTTATAGTTAAGTCTTAATTGTCCAGGCCAAATAAATGTATTCTTTCAGTTATTTACATTGATAATAGATGCCACATTTTAAGTAGTTGCTCCATGCTCATCCCTATACAGACTGTCTTGTTACTGTAGATGAACAGTTATTCAAGTAATACAATAGAGCATTTTTTTTTAAAGATACAGAGTACCTTATGTACTGTTTCCTCTATGCTTTAGCTAGAAATACAAGGTAGGGAGATGAACTTTTCCAAACTACACTGTCTAAGTGATACTCTTATTTCTTCCTTTCTGATGTATTTCTCCTTTTCAGATGTTTGCAATTTCTTCACCTTTCTGTTCTACCTCAAAATAAACCCTATTCTCTCATTTTGTTTCAGCTCTGTGGACTTGAAAAGGTGTAGATGTAACTGAGTGGAGAGCAGGGAACGCCAAGAAGCAGAGGGTCTGTTGTACTGTTAAACCGCCACACTCCCCCAGTCACTGAGGGTTGATTAATCATCTTATTGTTATTGCTGTTGGAGAAAGATGGTTGGCTCTTGGTGCTGCTGGCCTTTGATCAGTAGAGCTTAACAGGGATTTAAAAATGATAAGGGCTTAGCTAAACAGTATTGTAAAGACAAAAGATGGCATTTGATACAACTACAGCAGTCATAAAGTGGAAGTCACTCAGTGGTGTCTGCTGCCCCATGGATTGTAGCCCATTAGGTTCTTCTGTCCAAGGGATTCTCCAGGCAAGAATAGTTGGAGTGGGTTGCCATTACCTTCTCCAGGGGATCTTCCCGACCCAGGGATTGAACCGAGGTCTGTTGCATTGCAGGCAGATTCTTTACCATCTGAGCCGCCAGGGAAGCTCACCAGCAGTCATAGGTAGCAGCAATAAAAAGGACTGTGGTTCTGTGGCAGTTTACTCCCCTTTACCGCCTATATTTTATGTGCAGAACCACATCCTAAATATACTGATGATCTCAAGTTAGTTTCAGAATATTTTCACATCCACTTTATTATTGGATTGCTAACAGCTGTCTTTCCTTTATACTGTGTACAAGTTTCACCAAGTCTGTTTTAGACGAAGTAGAAAACAGAATTAGGACATCTAATTAACTATTTTTAGATAGGCTGGCTGACTGTGGGCCCTTTGTGACTGTAATCTTAAAAGCAAACCAAGGGTTTATCTCTAAAGCCATGATTATGTTGTTATGTGAGATCTATCAATAGTTCAGAGATGCCATGTAGTCTTGAGCATTTCGCATGAATTAGATTTAATATTAAATAGCAAGATATCACTTGGAATGTGGCTCGGCCATCACAGAAGCAATTTTAATTGCAGAGGTTGTATAGCACACATAGGAGTAGGAGCTTCAGGGATACTGCCTGGGCGCGAATCCTAGCCCTTCCCTTACTGGCCCCAAGTGCAGATATGCAACAAGTAGACATTAATGAATGAATAATTTTCTCATTATAAAGTTAATTTGTGCCTGTTGCATAAAATTCAGTAAATACAAAAGGACCAAGCAGTTAATGGTGATTTTTTTTTTTAACTAAAGTAGTGGTAAAATTAAGTAATCCCTACTTAAATTATACCCACTTGGTATCTAACCTTGGTATCATAACCTTTGTGTATGTGTTTAAAATTAAATAAGGGGTAATAACTGTAAGACTGTTCCACCTAATTTTTTCACATAGTGTATAATGAATGTCTACTCATATCGTTAAATATTACACATCATTTTGATGGTTCTGTAGTACTCCATTATATAAATATATAACACATGTCACCCATCCCCTATCCTCTTATTGAACATGTTTTTTGTTTTTATATGTTTTTGTAGTTGTTTGCTTAACACATGTATGATGTTTATGTATGCTTTCAAAGGTGTAGAATTGTTAGATAAAACACTGCAAAATTTTATAATTTCTAATACATACTGTCAAAATGACTACCAGAAAGATTGTGCCAGCATCGTGTTCCCAGGAATGGTGATGTTAACTGAACCAGCAGTGTAAAAGGTTGGTTGGCATGCCATAATTCCTATGTAGATATTGGACACTGGCATCATTGCTTTGTGGTAAATTCCTGAAATCATAGCATGCTTTTGGCCGTGGTGTCTGTGTTTCTCTCAGATTGCAGTGTTTACGATGCCTCTTATAAAGTCAAAGGATTTGTACCAATCTTCATTTGACCAACGGGTTTTTGCCATTTGTTTAAAATTGAAGTGTAGTTGGTTTATAATATTATGTTAGTTTCACACTTAGAATACAGTGCTTCAGTATCTTTATAGATTATACTTCATTTTAAGTTGTTATAAAATACTATTATTCCCTGTGCTGCACAATATATCCATGTAGCTTATTTATTTTATACACAGTAGTTTGTACATCTTAATCCCCTCTACCCCTCTCTTGCCCATCTTCCTTTCCTTCTCCCTAATGGTAGCTACTGGTCTGTTCTCTGTATCTGTGAGTCTGTTTCTGATTTGTTATATTCATTTTATTTTTTAGATTCTGCATATAAGGGATAACATACAGTATTTGTCTTTCTCTCTCTGACTTATTTCACTAAACATAATACCCTCTGCATCCATCCATGTTGTTGCAAATGGTGGGATTTCGTTTGTCATTTATTTATTTAACTCTTTCCTTTAAGGGGCTCACCTGCCTTTAGCTGTCAGAAAACTTACATTTAACTTTTATTGTTGTAGTTATTTTACTGATACTAATGTCTGAGTCCTGCCTCCAAAACACTGACTTAATTGGTTTTGGGGTGCAGATTGAGCAGTAATAGTGTTTTTTAAGATCCCCAGGTGGTTCTAGGGTGAAGCCAAAGTTGAAAATCATTGATCTATGTTGGTATTATTTCTTTGCACTTTGGTAGCCAAGGTTTGATCCCTGGGTGGGTAAGATCCTTTGGAGAAGGGCATGGCAACCCACTGCAGTATTCTTGCCTGGAGAATCCCATGGACAGAGCAGCCTGGTGGGCTACAGTCCACGGGGTCACAAAGAGTCGGACACGACTGAGCAGCTAACACACTTTTAGTACCTCTGCAACTTTATTTGCATCCCTTGTATCTTTTGTTGTGGGGTCAGATATCTTTGGAATGCCACATAACAACATTGCTTAAGCAAACAGATTGACTCTACCACTCAAATTTAGGAACATAAGATATTGGCACTAGTTCAAAGCATGTGATGGTATTCACTCTCCCTAACTGGCTGGCCAGTCATGAGAAAAGCAATATATACCTTAGCATTACTGTTTAACACAATAATGTTAACATATATTATACTGTTAGTTATTACAAAGTGTTATTAACATATAACAGTATACATGGTCATGTAGGAGTATATCTCAAGCAAACAGCCTTATAATAAGTCATTGCCATAAAAACAGTGTTAAACTACAAATCAACACTTCATAGGTCTCTGCCTGACTCCCCTGGTTCACCTCATACTTATTTACTTCCTTATTTATATTGAAATTTCCAGCTTACCAGTTTATTTTATTTTATTTTGAGTTATAATTGACATATACCATTATATTAGTTTCAGATGTACAATATGATTCAGTATCTGTAGACACCGTGAAGTCACCATGGGTAAGTCTAGTTACCCTCCATCATGAAAAAAGAGTTATGAAAATGTTTATTCTTTTTTTTCTTGTGATGCAGACATTTAAGTTTTACTCTCTTAGCAACTTTCAGATACAGAATACTGTATTATTAACTACAGCCACCGTGCTGAACATTGTATTACCATGACCTGTTTTATTTTTATTTTTATTTTTTTTGCTTCTAAGAAGAGCTTTATTTTGATTAATTCTAAATTATATTATTGCTACAGGAAATGATAAAACATTATCTCTTTGGAATGTAATATAAGCTGCTCTTTTAATTTACCAACAGGGTATCTTATAGATGTTACCTTAAAGGAAATTTTTAAAAAATAATTTTCATTGTTTACTTGTACTAATTAATTCAGTAAGTAAACTATTTCCCATTGTTTATTTTTTTCTGTTTTATTCGGTTACTTCAGTAATTTCTACCCAGATGAGTAGAAATAAGTGAGTCTGTTATCTTGAAATAGATCATTTTTATGGTTGCAGAGATTATCAAAGTTTTATAAAAGTTTGGCTTTTAGGCCACCATATCTATAATGGAACATTTTCCTTTTTATTTATTTTTATTTTTTTCCCTCTAAATGACACTTTAATTGTATCAGTCTTATTGATACACTAAATCATTCTTCAGTGAACATTGTTCACTGGGATATTTTGCAAATATGCCATGACCTGTTTTATAATTGGAAGTTTGTGCTTTTTGATTCCCTTCACCCATTTGGCCTACTCCCCCACCCACCTCCCCTCTGGCAGTCAATAGTCCATTCTCTATCTATGAGCTTGTTTTTTGAGCAAGATTCCACTCTTTTTTAATGGCTGAATAGTATTCCATTGTGTATATATACTGCATCTTTTTTATCCATTCATCTGTTGAACACTTATTATCGGTTATTTTCATATCTTGGCTATTGTAAATAATGCTGAAGTGATTATAGCTTAGGATGCCGATATCTTTTTAATTTAGTGTTTAATTTTCTTTAGATAAATACCTAGAAGTTGAATTGCTGGATCATGCAGTATTTCTGTTTTTAATTTTTTTGAGGGACCCCCCCCCCATACTTTTTACATTTTGGCCACACCAATTTACATTCCTTCCAACAGTGCACAAGGGTTCCCTTTTCTCCACACCCTCACCAATATCTTGTCCTTTTGATAATAGTCATTCTAACAGGAGTGAGGTGATATCTCAGTGTGCGTTTCTAGTTCACTATTTTAAATATAGCTTAAAATCCTATACTTGTACGTTTGTTTATCTGCCAGTTACATGATTTTATTTTTGCTTCCTTGTTTTTATTCTCAGCTCAGTGGATCACTGTGATCCACTCAGTTTTGCTTTGTACTTTCTCATAGTTAGGCCTTAGGTCCAGCCCCTGGGAGAACCTGGCACACTTTTCTATTTAAGCATTTAGTTATTAAGCATCTACCAAGGAGAGACTGTGTTATATCTTTCAATTCAGAATAAATAATCTAAAATAAAACAATTCCTTCCCATCACATGGCAGAAGTTGTTTATTTCCCCCAGTATGTGGATGAATAAAGTATATTTGCTTCTCACTCTTCATGCACTTCTTTTCCATTTTTGTCTTATAGGTTATTGAGGTATAATTTTCTCCCTTTGAAATGACTCTGCTGTTTTCCCCAGTAGACTTTTTCCTCTCTTTAAAAAAAAATTGTGAAATCATTTAGAGATTGTTTGGAAAAATACTGCCTGTAATTCTGTCATCCAAATGTTACTATTTTCATTTTTTTATGAACATATCCCTTGCTGTCCAGAAGTTTGCATTCCAGACTTGGAAACCAAATAGATTTATTTAGTAAAGGATATTTTGACTTTCCAATCTTCATCCTTATTCTTGTTTTTACCTAGTTGCAGTTACAGTGTCCATAGTAATTTGTAGTGATAGGTGCACACATTTAGTTTTGCTTATACACCAAATACTGTAACACTTTATGGAAGATTTTGCATGATATTTCAGCATAAAAATGAGATTCATTCTGTCTGTCTTTCCCATGATTTTCTTCTGAGTATAGAACATGTTATGTGATTCTGTGCCAGTAACCATGCAAGTGAGGTGGGTTAGGAGGAGGGCACTGACTTCATAGTGGAAATGGATTCAGCAAGTACCTTAAATGCAGTTGAGGTTTTATTTTTGCTTTTTAGAAAATTAATGTGACTTTGTTGGAAAACTCAGGGTTTGGGCTCCCTTTTTTCTCTGAAAGTAGGCCACTTTTATTTTGTTAAAATAAATCTTATTAACGTTATTAACCTGTAAACAAAGAACCATATTTACATAGTGTCCTCAAAATATGATACTTAATACCAATTGCTACTGTTTTTTTTGTGGAATATTCTTAAATGAAGGTGTCTTCTTTCAGTCTGGCCGGGACCTTCAACAGTACCAGAGTCAGGCTAAGCAGCTCTTTCGAAAGTTGAATGAACAGTCCCCTACCAGATGCACCTTGGAAGCTGGTGCCATGACTTTTCAGTGAGTATAATCTTGATTTCTTTGTCATTATTTAAGTATGAAATACAGCAATTACTTGTAATTACACCTGAGAAGAATGGTAACTTTTTTCAAACATAAAGATAACTTTGAAAGTAGAGTCACTCTGTGGAGGCAACTTTCCTGGCTCTAATTCTGCAAAACTGAAATCTTGGTTTCTGTATTCAGTTTGTGTACAGTAATTCAGCCTGTTATCTTGTGTCTAGTAAATGCTGTATGTATCATGCAGTAATAGATAACTTTTGCTTTGGGAGCTTCTTAGAGCCAGATACACATAGATTAGTACCCTTGCTTAAACATTTACTGACACTGTAACCTTGAGCAACTCACACATATTTCTCTAGGCCTCAGTTACCTCTATAAAATAGGGAATCATAGTTTTGTTAGGTTTATGAGAGAATCCCTGTATGTCACTTAACATTTTGTCTGGCACATAGAGAATAGTCAATAGGTATTATTTATTATTTAGAGAAAAGAAAATTATAAAAGATAATTTAAGAGCATCTAATCAGTGGTTGGAGAAGGGCATGGCAATCCACTCCAGTATGCTTGCCTGGGAAATCCCATGGACAGAGGAGCCTGGCGGGATACAGTCCATGGGGTCGCAGAGAGTCAGACATGGCAGCATCTAAACAACAACAGCAGCAAATCATTGGTTATAGACAATGCATACAGCTGAGAGAGGGATCAGAGGGACTTTATTGGGTCTCAGATTACCTACAAATAATTGGTATTAAGTGTTTAACTATATGTCACGTTTGAAGGTGCTAAAACAGGCAGGATTAAAAAAGAAAAAAGAGGACAAGAAGATCAGAGGAAAATAAGAAAGGATAAGCTAAATAATCCTTAGTATGTTAGGAGCTCAGATACTGAGATAATATAGACCTGGGAAGAACCTATTGTATTTAACTCAAACAACCAACCTTCTACTCATCAAGAACAAACAAACAAGTATACAGAATCAAAACCAAAGCAAGGCTCTGGCCTATTGGTTAAAAAAATAGTGAACATTAGGTTTTGTAAGTTATTTCAACATTAAATAATGTTCAGTTCAGTTGCTCAGTTGTGTCCAACTCTTTGCGACCCCATGGACTGCAGCACACCAGGCCTCCCTGTCCATCACCAACTCTGAGAGTTTACCCAAACTCATGTCCATTGAGTCGATAATGCCATCCAACCATCTCATCCTCTGTCGTCCCCTTCTCCTCCTGCCTTCAATCTTTCCCAGCATCAAGGTCTTTTGAAATGAGTCAACTCTTCGCATCAGGTGGCCAAAGTATTGGAGTTGCAGCTTCAACATCAGTCCTTCCAATGAACACTCAGGACTAATCTCCTTTAGGATGGACTGGTTGGATCTCCTTGCAGTTCAAAGGACTCTCAAGAGTCTTCTTCAACAGCATAGTTCAAAAGCCTCAGTTCTTCAGCACTCAGCTTTCTTAATAGTCCATCTCTCACACCCATACATGACTACTGGAAAAACCATAGTCTTGACTAGACGGACCTTTGTTGGCAAAGTAATGTCTCTACTTTTTAATATGATGTCTAAGTTGGCCATAACTTTCCTTTCACGTTATTTCCTTTCTAAATAATGTTCAGTTCAGTCACTCAGTGGTGTCCGACTCTTTGTGACCCCGTGAATCGCAGCACGCCAGGCCTCCTTGTCCATCACCAACTCCCGGAGTTTACTCAAACTCATGTCCATAGATTCGGTGATGCCATCCAGCCATCTCATCCTCTGTCGTCCCCTTCTCCTCCTGCCCCCAATCCCTCCCAGCCTCAGGGTCTGATGCTCAATTATAATACAGTATTTTTTATCTTTACCATGGGTTAGGAACAGATGACCTAGGAAAGATCTCATGGAACTGCAAAGAGATTTTCTTCTGCCTCCTTTATAATCTTATCTCTTCCCTTATTTGCATCTAAGAGCTGTTTGCTAAAGATGTATTCTTTGCCAGACCATGTATTAAGTCTTGCCTTTAATGTTCTTAGCTTGTCTTCTTATAGCAGAGAGAGATATATATGCAAGCAACTGTACTATAATACCTGGGACAAGAAGTGCTATAGAGCAGAGAGAAAGAAGCAAGTTTTCAGGAAAGGGGAATTCTAGGGTGCCTTAGAAGCTACATAGAAAGGACAGGGATGGGGGATGTGTGTAATGCTTTGGACCCTTAAACTCCTACTTAAACTAAAAAAACTTCTGGATATAATTTTGGCTCAAATAAAGAGTGCTATGGCTAAAAAGTCATTTGAAAACCACTGAGTAGCCAGCCTCTTTCCAGAAGTATCTCCTCCAGACTGCCAGGGACAGTATGATGGACATGAGTTTGAGCGAGCTCAGGGAGTTGGTGATGGGCAGGGAAGCCTGGCATGCTGCAGTCCATGGGGTTGCAAAGAGTCAGACAGGACTGAGCAACTGAACTGAACTGAAGGCTGCCAGGGAGCTCACTCTCACAAGAGGAGTCAGTTCTGTTATTGAATAATTTGCAACTAATACAGAGTTCTTCTACCCTAGAAATTAGGAAATATTAGTCCTGAGATTGTTATTTTCTGTACCCAGTAATCATTGTGACATTAACTTCTAACTTTTAGTGTTCACAAAAATTTCCAGTTCCACAATTCTTATAGATGGAAGAAGTTTAAATGTGTATAATTATTACTTGTTTACTATACATGATCAAAGGGCAGATGGAGTCACACCTCTGAGTTTTCAAGAAAAAGTCTTAAGTATTAAGATATTTTAGTTGAAGAATTATGTGATGAATCAGTTCAGTTCAGTTCAGTCGCTCAGTCGTGTCCGACTCTTTGTGACCCCGTCAGTTGCAGCACGCCAGGCCTCCCTTTCATCAACAACTCCCGGAGTTTACTCACACTTATGTCCATCGACTCTGTGATGCCATCCAGCCATCTCATCTTCTGTCTTCCCCTTCTCTTCCTGCCCCCAATCCCTCCCAGCATCAAGGTCTTTTCCAATGAGTCAACTCTTCGCATGAGGTGGCCAAAGTATTGGAGTTTCAGCTTCAGACTTAAATTGAAGAAAGTAGGGAAAACCACTAGACCATTCAAGTATAGCCTAAATCAAATCCCTTATGTGATGAATAAATATGTCTAAGTACTCCTTTTGGAATATGCTTCTAGTAATGGGAAGATGTTTGTTTTCTAATTCTAGTGATTTATGGTTTGTAATTGGCTTTCTGATTTCATTAGCCTCAAAGGCCTTGGGCTTGAATATTTTCAAGTTTGTATAAGGAATTTCCTGGTGGTCCAGTGGTTAGGACTCTGCCCTTCCCCTGCCAAGGACCTGGATTTGATCCCTAGTCAGGGAACTAAGATCTTGCAAGCCGTGTAGCATAACCAAAAAAAAGTTTGTATGGCACTTGAGAGTCTGTTTCGGACTGTTGGGAGTGTTATTAATTTACAACAATTTTTTCTTGCTTTTTAAAATTTTTGTCTCTTCAGTTACATTATTGAACAGGGAGTATGTTATTTGGTTCTGTGTGAAGCTGCCTTCCCTAAGAAGCTGGCTTTTGCCTACCTAGAAGATTTACACTCAGAATTTGATGAACAGCATGGAAAGAAGGTGCCGACTGTGTCTAGACCCTACTCCTTTATTGAGTTTGGTAAGATTTTGTGCCTTACTTTTCTATCAGGGGAATAGACAATGTAGAGAAGCTATTGATATAATTTAGACTTTTTTTTTTTTAAGCTTACCTACTAATGTTTTGGATCCTGCCTCCTCTCCTATTCCATGTCTTTTTTCCTTTTGAGTGAATGAGGCTTCCTTCTCATAAGTATTAATAATTTTCTCTGGCCTTTTGATATTTTCCACATAGAGCTTATTGCCCTTTGCTCTTTTTTGTAATTTGTTTTGATTCTTCATTAGTGTAAAAAATTGCCTGAAGATTCAAATTGATATGTAATTGTTGAGTTCTTCTTTTTCCCAATTCACTGTCTTCACCCCCACGCACACAACACTCACAGTGAGACCCATTTTATGGAGATCAGAATTTGGAAATCAGAAAGAATGGTGTTTTTTTTCTTTTAATAGAACAAGATCCTCTAAATTGAGTACTAAAAGATACCTGGTATTGGGGCACAACAGTTCCTACAGGCAGAGGTAGTGAGCATGGATGTCCATATTTGTACAAGAATTAATAGAAAGACTCATTACTCCTCAGAGCTGGTAAAATATAGGATGGCAGCAGATCAAAGGAAATGTCCTATAAGTAGAAGAAGGGAGAACAAGTATGATTAGATTACATCATTGACATTTTTAGTTAAAAAAGAAACTGGTTTTGAATAGTACCTCTGGATACCTGAAGTGTTTCAAGTTTGCTAGATAAATGAGTCCTCTTGCTTTCTAGAAATACAGAAAATGTATTATAGCAAAGCATTACAGTGTTTCAAAACTAAACTCTCCAAGTGCTAATTTTATCATGTCTGGTTTTGCAGTTTTTATTTTTGTAGGCAATAGGAGTTCAGTAAAGCCAAGAAAAAAATAAAGACTGCTGTACCAAAGTCACACAGGAAATAGTTGGTATTCTCAAATTAGCTTAAAAGATTGTATGCAGAGATATGAACGGGTTGTAGATGAACTGTAAGGTGCAGTAAGCTGAGACCAGTAGCATGGTAATTGTTATCAACCCTAGGCTTGAATGGATAAGAGCAGTTTCTGGAACTGGGAAGGAAAAAATTTATAGAAAAGGCCAATTTCAAAGGAGCAGTAACTTTTGGTGGAGGAATACTACTAGCCCAAGATGACTTCTCAGGGAGGAGATAGAGGAATAAATCACTGTCACTGTCCACTCATTCCCTACTCTTGGGGTGTCCTCTTTGGCTGAACCTAATTGGAAGCTAGACGGCAAGGAACCCATTGATATAATTCATGCAGGTTAGCTTCCAAAGCAGAGAGCAGGGTGCAGAAGGGTGGCAGGAAGTCTAAAGAGGCAAATAAAGGGTAGCCAATACACTATCTTAAGATTTTAGCTAAAAGTTGAAAATACAATCTTTATTAATTATTCTTTTCATAGTTTTATGATATGCAGACATTGGCAAACATGAATGAGCATGCAGTGGGGTTTTTTTTTTTTTGAGCATGCAGTTTTGTTATAATATTTTGGGAAATTCCCTGTCACACTTGATACTCATTCAGGAGTCTGGTTAATCATGAACAGTTGCAGAACCAGGACTAAACTCAGAATATACTCTTTCCTACTTCTTTGATGGACATGAAAGAAGTTGTTAACAGTCACTTTCTTCATCATTATAGATACCTACATTCAGAAAACCAAGAAGCTTTACATTGACAGTCGTGCTCGGAGAAACTTAGGCTCCATCAACACTGAACTGCAAGATGTGCAGAGAATCATGGTCGCAAATATTGAAGAAGTGTTACAACGGGGAGAAGCACTCTCAGGTATCTCAAAGCAGTACGAGTCTTATGAGCAAGTGTTCTTATTCCATAGGCAAGGATAGCTTATTTGGGGTTACCGTTTATGCTGTCAGATTCTATCTAATACTATTAAGAATTCATTTCTCCAAAATGGATTACATTACAAGCTTCCAATATGATATGTTTCTTCCTAGTGTGGTTAGTTTCTATTGAGTTGGAACAGTGTAAAGTCTCATTCCATGTAAGAAACAATTACTGTTTCCAAGGTATTTACCAAATTAGATTAGTATTTATAGAAACACATAAGTTAAGGAAAATGAAAAGAAGAATGAGAGGACACTGTCAAAGTTTTATGGCAATGGTTTCGTAAGTAGCTGCTTCAGGAGACTTTACTGCTGCCAGACCAGCTGTTACAAAATACCATTTCATCAAGGTGTTCCTCCGCAGAAAAACTTCTAAGACCTGTGACTATAAGATCTAGTCTGGTGTCAGCTTACTTTTCATTCATCCAGTCATTACTAATTGAATACTCATAATGTGCAAGGCAGGCTTCCCCAGTGGGAAGCATTAAAAAGCATTAAAAAGTGTGCCTGTGGTACAGGAGCTGCAGGACATGCGGGTTCGGTCCCTGGCTCAGAAAGATCCCCGGGAGGAGGAAATGGCGACCCACTCCAGTTTTCTTTCCTTGAGAATCCCATGGACAGAGGAGCCTGGTGGGCGACAGTCCATGGGAACGCAGAGTCGGACACAGCTGGAGCCACTTAGCAGCCAGTGTGCAAGGCACTGTGTTCTCTGTCAAGGGAGACAAGGAGATCGCAGAAGGGTTCCATCCTCACAGGGTCACAGACATCCTGCCTCAGCCAGTTCAGGGTCTTCATCATCCTGGACCTTCCTTAAACGCTAGATGAGAACTGCCTCTTCAAAGAAGCCTTCCCTGATCCTTACAGCCCATGACGCAGTAATCTCCTTAGTCCTTCAAATTCTTAGAACACTTAAATATTTTATGTAATGTAAAAAAGCATGTAATGTTTTTTAGCACATTATGTATTATGTATTAGTATGTATATGTGTGTACTAATTTACCTAAAATATATAACTAATGTTTAAATGTTACCTAAGTGTTTAATGTGAGCATAAACTCTGTTTTATATCTATTTTATATACTTATTTTATTTCTTTCACAGTAATCATCACAGGTAGTTGCCTTAATGTATATTTTTAAAATTCAGCCTTGTTACATATTCATGATTAAATGCATGCATGCTAAATCACTTCAGTCATGTCCTATTCTTTGTGACCCCCTGGACTATAGCCCGCCAGGCTCCTCTATCCTTGGGATTCTCCAGGCAAGAATACTGGAGTGGGTTGTCATTCCCTTCTCCAGCCATTCCCTTCTCCAATGAATAAATGAGTTTTCCTTTATTATGAACTTCAGATTTTAACCTTCATGTTTATAGTCAGCAACTGTCCCAGTGTATAGCTTCATACTCTTTAAACATCAGTTTTTGGATAAGTGAGTCTATATAAGTTTTCATCGTAGCAGACTCACAGGTTCTACTCAGGATAAAGGAAACCAGTATAGGAAACTTTTTTAAAGCCAAAATTTATAAACTGCTCAATTAATCAAAGGCATATGGGATTTCCTTCTAGTGCTTTGCTAATTGCTGTAGTGTTGATATGCTGATTAAAAACGAAGTACATTTTTACCCGTAAGAAACTTCATGTGATTGGGAAGATAAGGAACATCGTCACAGAGTAACAAACATCAGTTGAACATTTACATTGTTCTAGGCAGTATGGTAGGGGGACTTTATATATATTTTATTTATTCTTCAGAGTAATCCCATGTGAAGTGGGTGGTATCAAACCAGTTTTACAGATAAAGAAGCAAAGTCTCAGAAAAATAGCTTACTCAAAGCTAAAAAATAGCTTACTAAAAGTAGCTTACTAGCTTTTTACATTGCTAGTACTTGGCAGAATTTGTTGGCCCATGGAGTCCTTGTTCATCTTCAGAGAATGATAGTTGTAAATCATTATGTAGATATATATGGGCTTCCCAGGTGGCTCAGTGTTAAAGAATCTGCCTGCCCAATGCAGGAGACGTGAGTTCATTCCCTGGGTTGGGAAGATCCCCTGGAGAAGAAATGGCAACCCACTCCAGTATTCTTGCTTGGGAAATCCCATGGATGGAGGAGCCTGGCAGGTTATAGTCCATGGGGTCACAAAGAATGAGACACAACTGAGCAACTGAGCACATAGATACATAGACAATAAGAGCTAAAAGAATGTGGAAGGAAATAAATAAACAGGAAAGATTTCTTGAGTTTTGATAGATTAGGAAGGAGTGAAGAGTGATATTTTTAAGAGGAAGAAAAAGCATATCTGAACAGGGCATAAATGAAGACAGTGGGAAGGTTAGCCCACCTCAAAAATAGATTTCTTCCTCTTTAAGCTTCTCCATAATAAGAATCTATCATTTATACTGTTTTCTCTTTTTGTTTTAGAGCTAGTCAGCTTTGCATTTAAGACCCAAGAATAGTTCCTGTGGGTTGTTTTAGTAAGATCAAATTGTGCCTTTTTTACTACCTATATATACCTGTTTCTTTTAAGGCATAGGTTTTATTTTTTTATTCAGAGGTGTGTCACTCTACTGCAGTGTTGATTGCACAGGTACGGGGATCATGTATGTTTGATTGTAACTGTATCCTCTAGCACTTCTCATGGTGCCCACAACATAAATATTTGCTAAATAAGACTTCTCCAAGCAATAGCTTTGTTTTTATGATACCATGTGTTTCCAATGTTCATATGTAAAGAAATTCTCATAACTATTGCTTACTTTATATGACCTAATATTTATTTCTCTTTCCAGTTTTTCTGAGCCGATTTAGATTCATTTAGCAAATACTTATTTATTGAGCGCTGACTATGTGCCAGATCCTGTTCTAGGCACTCGGAATATAGTAAGACACACTGTAGTAGTTAAAAATCTCTGTCCAGTCTGTTAAACTGACTGGAAAGATTCCTCGCAGTATTGTATGGCTATTTCTCATCCCTTAACTGTTTTTTTGCATGACAAGGTGCTTTTCTTACAGGACAAGTTACTAATTTCGAAATGGCTGACATGCCTGTGTTATTAAGTAATGCCACATTTCTCAATCAAAACCAGTTCCTATTAAGCAACTCCAAATAGTCCAAAAGCATTCTCCAAGGAAGACCAAATAAATTCAGATTGCAAAATAGTTTCTCAAAAATTTAAAGAAGTGAAAAGTTTGATTAGAATTTATGCCAAACTGAGAGTTTGTTTTTATTATTAAAAATATGCCATATATTTTAAGCCCGGTTTAACTTATGTGTATCTGACTATTTCTCTAAGTGCTTAGTTAACAATTAAAAGAAGATAATGACATTACAAATGTTCGTATAGGAAAAAAAGCTTTGCAGAAGATTCTAAAAAACTTAATTTAGTAGATATTGGTGGTTTTCTAGCACCTATGATTGTATTTTCATTGTAATACAGCTTTCCTATGTCTGCTGAAATACAATTTCTGATAGTGTTATCTTCATAATAATAGTCTTCACCATGTGGAAAGTTTTAGAAATTTGGTAGTAGTCACTGTTGAGAAACAGCCTAACACTCAATGTCTGGTTCATTGAATTTTCTGGTTACCTGCATTTTTCATGTTACCTGGATTATCATTTGTCAAAATATGAATGAACATGATTTAAACCATTAAGGGATTATGGAGATAGTTGTTATCAGCTAACATTTATCAAATGTATACCATTATGTAGGCATTGTGTTCACCTTTTAGAAATCCCATGATATGGTTACTATTATTATATATTCCCTATTTTTGTAGACAAAGAAGTTGGGTCTTCGGCTGAGTTGCCCAGTATCATATGATTGGTACAGCTGAGATTTGAACTAGGGTGTGAGGCCAGACCCTGCACTCACTCTGAAGCCTCAAGAATTTGAACATAAGTTGAACTGATTAGTTGAAAATGCATTGTAGATTTTACAGTGCTTCGGGATCATGAGTTAATCAGTATATACAACCTTACCCTTTTAAAAAAAAAGATAATTTAAGCTTCATGATTTGAAGTAGTGCTACTCATTTGGGTTATTTTTGTTCTTAATGCAGTTGATAAAATACTTTAAGGGACTAATTAATGTTATCCTTTTTTTCCCTTTTGACAGCATTGGATTCGAAGGCTAACAATTTGTCCAGTCTGTCCAAGAAATACCGCCAGGATGCGAAGTACTTGAACATGCGTTCCACTTACGCCAAACTTGCAGCAGTAGCTGTATTTTTCATCATGTTAATAGTGTATGTGCGCTTCTGGTGGCTGTGAAGTAGTGAATCCAGTCACTGGCAAGGGAGAACCTAGAACCCGGCAGGTGTATGTTTTCAGGAAGCTGAGCACACAGAGATGTGTATTAGAATCCAAGTGGAACTTCTGCCTCTAAAGACCTTGCAAGAAAAGACATGTCCTGAAAATGAAAGATTACACCTCATTTAATGAAGCTTAGCCCTCTGTAGAAAGTGTCTTTCCGGGGCAGAGGCTTTCTCTGGGTGCTAAGCCACATACATTAGGGAACAGTAGATTGTTTTATTTGTTTTTTTCCCTTCCCAGTGTTTTACATTTTTCAAACAGCACTGACTGGGGCATTCTCATTCTCTAATGGAGCCGTCAGTGAGATTTGGCTTAACCAACCTATGCTAGCAAGTCTGAAATCCCTTCAGAGAAGGCAGCCCTTCAGGAAGTTTTTTGACTCTGTTTAATCAACATTCCTTTCATTGGTGACATTTGTGATTTTCAGGAATCTGAGTTGTTTGATGGCCTTTCAAACAAGACTCCAGTATGTGAAGGTTAATTGCTGTGCTGCAAGATATCCTGTCTATTGGCCCCTATAGGAAGTTAACCTTGTTTTTCATTTATGATAATTTGCTTATTGCACAATTGCTTTAGGGTTAAATGAATTATATTAAGATGCCTTGAAATTATATTATAGCACTCCTTGACTAAGAAGCAAAAATGTTTTCTGTCATTTACTCTTAAAAGACTTAAGATTAGTTTGGGACATTCTTGATTTTATTTTTCTGCATCTGGTTTATATTAATATAAGAGTAAGTATAGCATATAGCCAGAGGCCCCTGACTTAGTGGGCAGACAGGCCAGCTCATCACTACAGCTTTGTCCTCCTTCCTCACTTCGTCACTACGATTTTCCCCACTTTTCCTCCTGCCACAACTTGGTAAGGTTTTCTGAATTGCTCTGAGCCCTGTAGTTTCATGTCCCATAACTGTCCTCTCAGTATATTCTCAAATTTCAAAATGGAAGATAATCGGTTGCATAGTTAATTAAATTGAAATTTTTCAGAGCAACTACTCAAACTACTAAACATATTTATCTAAGAAAATCTGAGAGCACCTCATATCTGCTTCAGTTATGTAATTCTCTAAGAATGTTCTAGAGATAGACAACTCATTTACAGTAGATTCTGTTAACAAATAAAAGTACCTGATTTTTCCCTTTTTTGCTCAGGGATAATGAGAATTTCCTTTTACCTTCTGAGGTAGAATTTTTTAAATGGGGAGAATAGGCCTTTTAAATATTGTCACAAGAGTCTACAATATAACCTCTAATTCCTACACATACTGCAAATATTTCTTTAAATTGTACAGGAAAATGAACCAACTTCTTACTTCTTAAGATCTTTAGAAAGAACTTTAACCAGTAAGCAGTTTTATAACTCAGGATCATCAAACCTACTATTCTGATTCCTGATAGAGAAAAAAAAAAATCTTTTTTCTTTAAAACAAGGCAAGGAGAAATGCTTATTTTATTCCTGATAATTTACAGAACTAGAATAAAATTTTTTTCTTCCCATTTTGGACCTCTGTCTGCCAATTGGAGTTCTGTGCATGAAATAAGAAGTTACTTTTTATAGAGAATAAGTGCTTGAAGTCCCTAAAAGTCTTGTCCCTCAGTAATGATGTTGGTAATAAAAGCCTTTGAAAGGCTGAAAACCTAAATAGTAGTACCATAGCTTTTGGTACTTCTGTAGAAGTGGAGAGTGAGTGGCAGCTCATTGTTGAGAGTTGCATGCTGCAACCAAGTGGTCAGCAATGAAATAAATACTTCTAGAATGTTCCCTTCAGTGTGAAGCTTTGTTATCTACTGTAATTAATTTACATGCACATATTCTAGATACATTCCTACCTAAATTCAAAAGGTTAATTAAAAAATGATATGGGGTGGGGGATGAGAAACAAAGGGATAAGAAAGTAGTTTATGATTATGATGGTAGAAAATGAGAGAGGAGGACTGTCATAATATGGCTCCTACTTGTGTTCTTTATTGGAGGAAGTGCGAAGATCTAATTAGGTGGAATGAACCAGCAACCAAACAGACATCTAAAATAGAATGTGATAAACACTGTTCAGGGTTATTGAGGGCACATTAAGAAAGGACACCTAATTTACTGTGGCACGGAGGATGGTAAGAGAAGGAGAGCATGACTTCCCGTACAGAGTCAGTGGCTTGTGCAAAGTCATGAGTTAAAAGAATGAGGCGCATTTTGGGGGATCATATTGCTTGGTTTGGGTTTCACTGCTGGCTCAGATGGTAAAAAATTTGCCTGCAGTGAGGGAGTTCGATTGTTGGGTCAGGAACATCCCCTGGAGAAGGGGATGTCAATTATATCCGACTCTTTGTGACCCATAGGCTAGCTCACCAGGCGGCTCTGTCCATGGAATTCTTCAGGCAAGAATACTGGAGTGGGTTGCTATGCCCTTCTCAGGATCATCCAGACCCAGGGATTGAACCTGGGACTCCTGCATTGAGGGCAGATTCTTTGCCATCTGAGCCACTAGGTAAGCCTGAATGGTGGTGGCCACACAATTAAGGCTTTTGGTTAGTGTATTTAGCAGAAGTGACTGGTTGTCTTTTTAGCTCAGCAAAAAGGCAGAGGTCATAAAGATGTTACTCCTATAATTGCATATTAACTAATTGAACCAAATAGCTTGTACTTTTTAAAAGTCCCCAAAGAAGAATTGGTAGCATGTGTGACATAGTTTGAGGTAGAAGGAACATATTGAGTCCCATATCCTTTTAATCATTACAGGTAGGGTTGACCCAACAGTCAGCTGTCTTGAGCAATTTAATCACTGTTCTAATAAAGTTTATTTCAAGTGCTGTAATTGAACCCATGTTTTAGATTAGAAAAATTATTGGAAATTTGAGTTCCATATACTCATCAAAACTGGGCTAATTTTTTTTTCTTCCATAACCTTCATTAACTGAGCACATTGTTAGGCATTTTACATGTATTATTATTATTATTATTATTATATTACATGTATTATAATCAGTCAAGTCATAACCATTTTCCCAGGTTGCCCAAGGTCACATAACAAGTTGAAGCACTTGGGTTCAAATCCAGCACTGATAGACGTCCAACCACTACACATACTGTTTATTCCTAAATTATGATGTAGACGTGTTTGTTCTAAGCACTATTTCACTTTGTCCTGTCAGGTTATTAGTTTTTATTTTTTGGAAAAGGTTTTTGTTTTGTATATACATACAATTTCATTTTATTATTTATGTCTCTTTTTCATTTCCTTATCTGTCATTTTTCCCTTTATTCCTTTTTAATAATTTTTACTCTTGGGTACTTGTTGGCCTTTTCTCATTCTTGGTTTGTAACACATTTTATTTGCTCCTTTTACATTTGATCTTAATGTTAACTCAGCATTTTTTTACATCTGATTCACTTAAGGTTTAGCAAAATGATTTTTTAAAATAAATCTCCCTCTTTTTTCTTACGTCCTTTTGCTCATTCTCTTCCCCCCTCCCCCCACATTTTCTGTTCCTTTCCATTTTGCTTCATTTCCCTAGATGCTACGTTTACTTAGGAGTTACTGTTATGCTACAACTTTACTTCTGTAAGTGAGAGCTTTAAAATTAACTGTTAGACTTACTCATTATTTTTATATCTTAATTTATCTTACCTTCTGTTGATTTCATAACATACTGTGTTCTCTTATCAGTCAATCCAGATATGCCCCTGCTTTCAGGAATCCCTTTACACTATATTACAAACACTGCAGGAATTCTTCAAGAACAAGCTCCTCTAGTTTGTTGTAAGTATTTGGGGCTTCAGTTCTCACTTGTGTTACTGATAGCTCCAAATGTACCTGTCTATGCTCACGTTGAGATCTAGATCCAGTTATTTTGCTGCTTGTTGGATATCTGTGTTTTGAGTATTCCATAAAACTTTAGTGCACTTAAAACATCTTATTGCCTTCATAGTTAAAACCTATCCTGTGCTTCCTAAGGAATTTCTAACTTTTAGACATCACCTGCCACTCCTTTACCTCAACTACAAGTCAGGAATTGCATATGACTCCTCAGTTTTCTCCTACCACCTCTCAACTATTGAAACTTGGTTTTCTTAACCTCCAGAATATTCATCATTTATCACTTCCTTTCTTTTTGGCCTCACATTCAAGCTCTCGTTCAAGCTCTTTAAGTTGTTCTCCTGCAGCAGCCTCCTTACTTGTCCCTCTTTCATCCCAGTATTACTGACTTATTAATACCAAAGATTTTCATAAACAGCCAGTCATGCCCTGTTTCCTATAGAATAAAAGGTTACGTATCCCAGTCTGCCTTCCACAGTGTGGCCTCATATCCTTTCAGACCTGTCTGCCACTCCCCCACCACCCCTTGGTTTCACCCGCACCTAATTCTCTAGCTTTCTCCCATCAGTCCGGTTAGCCCTTTGCTTTGGCTCATTGGTACCTTCTCGCCGGAACTCTGTGTGTGTGGACCTTGTTCCTTTTCAGTTCTGCTCATCTCAAAGACTCAGCTCTAACTAACACCTCTTTTGTAAAGCCTAACATTCTCATATCCTCCTTCCTACCAACCTGAGAGAAGTTGTGGTTTCAAACCTCCCGTAGCAACGTGCTTGTATTTCCAGCATAGAACCTGCCAATTAAAAAGAGCAGTTTGTGTGCACTTTCCTCCTTGGCTGTATACCATGTGAGTCCCCTAAGGTAAAGACCGATTGCCAGTCATGTCTGAATCCTTGGCACTCAGTACAGAGACCTGTTGGAGGTACTCAGCAAATAATCGTAGAATGAGTGCCACTGAATTATGAAAAACTTATGCACGTGTTTTCTGGAACTAGACTGTTCTTCAAGTCATGGATATACACATAATTTTAATAGAAGGGGAAAACAACGTAGGGTAAAATGGTATAGGCCTAATAAGGGAATTGGAAGGAAAGAGGCACATTAAAATGTCAGAACGAAAGAGACCAACAGGAAGATAATGAAGAAAGATAA